ACTACTACTACTACTACTACTCTTAAGTATTACGACGACGATTGCGTCGAGCTTCTTAACTCCTATAAGTCTGTACTCCTCAACCTGATGCCCTACATCTGATAAACCCCTGGGCTTCAACCCCAAAAGGCCCCGAGTCAAACGCAATAGCCCTGGACCCTTGCGGGCCCAAATGGATCTCCAAACCCCGAGGCCCCAAGCCCTGAGCTCAAGGACCTGAGCTGTGACCGCGAGGGCTCCGATGAGCTGTCTTTGTCGCAGTGGGGCCCGGGCTTCCTGCAGGAGACCTACCAGGCCCCCTCTCGCATCATGCAGTATAGACGTCTGAATAGTGAGGAACGGTATCCCCCGACATTTTGTCCGAAATGTGGCCCCTCTCAACGCTATTCTATCTGCTAACGCCCATACAAACTATTGCATGGTTCGTGATCAGCGAAAGCTTGGCCCCACCCTAAACCCGGAAGCCGTACGTAGAGCCATCGACATACCGTCAACATTTGGAGTCTGATCTGTTTTTTTCCTTGTTGCAGGTGCCTTAGTTGCTCTGCTTCAAGCAAGCTCGGGAACAAGCATCGAGTTCAGAACCTCTGAGGATCAGCACTTGCCAGACCCAAGCTACTGAATCTCATCATCCACTCGCACCCCTAAGGGTTGGGGATTTGGGGGGTGTCTTGGTTTGAAGACTTTAGGGGCTGGGTTGTGTAGCCTCGGGGACTTTGTTAGGGTCTTGGGGCCTGGTGTAGGAGGTGCTGGACTGCCGATCTTTGACTTGCCGCACAGGAACCTGAAAGCCCTGAACATAGTCCATAGGTGTGTTGGGTTTATGGTTTCAGCCACAAGCTCAAAAGGGCTTACATCGACAATTTCCCTCGGAATACCACGCACGAACTGCCTTGAATGCAAGAGCCTGCCCAAGATTCTCACCCGACTTTCGAGTAAGGAAATTTACGGTCCAAGTTGTGCAGCTTAAATTATCCTCGCCCTCTACACTAGGTGAACCCTAAACCCTGAAACCAAAGACCATGTACCTCGAATCCCTCAGCAAGCCCAAAACCTTCACAACTTCACAGCGCCAAGAGCCCTGGACCTAGATCCGGCAGGTCAGAGAGAGAGAAGAAAGGCAGCTTTCCGTCAGCGTCGTCGCCGCAACAAAGGTCCGAAGAGTCGGGGAGGGGGGGGGGAGGAACCGAACCGTACTGGTCCCTAGAATATGGTTTGGAGCGAACCTCGGTTTGGGATCCTGCCACTTGCGGCAGCCAGCGTCGTGAGGGCTTCTGCGTTTTCGGAAATATCCCTCTTCTGCTGAGGACGCGTGAAAACTTACAGTGTGGTTGCAAGGAATCGGTTTGTTTTTTTGAGCGACACATAGGGATCATAACGGGGCATGGCCCCTGAAACGGGTACAACTAATGATTTGTGGGCAATGGGGGCCGGGGGGGCCGGGGGGGCCGAGGGACAGAGCAGCAACAAACATGTCCCTGGAGGTTTCGTCATGGAATTGGGTGCTTTTGGGTTTGACTGGGATTCAAAAGTTGTGCAAGTTGAGACGGTTTCGGGCTCTTTCCAGCTGCAGATAAGCTGTTGTCAGGTTTGCTGTGTTCCGAATCCTCCTGTTGCCAGGCTTCGGCAGAGAAGCCTCTTTCATCAGCTGCCTTGGCTCCGTTAGCCATTGCAAGAGCAGTTGCAGTTCCACCATCATCACCGATGTCATTTGCTTCAACAGCATAGCACGTACCACACCTACATTGCAGACTGACTATGGAGCAGTTCCGGGTTTGCTGTGGACGCTATACCTCAACTTAGCAGGTTTGACTGGCTCCGCAGTTTGCGTCTGCAGAGTCCGAGGGCTCAGTAAGAACCCCCAGAGCTGAAGCGCGCGGGGTTTGGCCTTGGAGCAGTGGTGATCGAGTTGAAAGAGGTGGGAAGGTTTCTGGAGCTAATGCAGTTGCCCCGTTTCTTTTCAACAAAAACGTAGACTTGCATGTCCTTGTTACACAGAGTGTTTGTAGTCGGCCTCTGGCCAAGGCAGGCCTAGTGTGGATGCTAAGATGCTTTCCGATGGTATTTCTTGAGTATACCTTCTAGGAAGTTTGCGCATGTCCTAGCCCCCAGCGGTTTGTGGCTCTCGTGCATTCCACTTAGCAGGAAGAGTTTATGGGTGCAGGGTCAGAGGCTAAGGCTCAGTTCCTCAACCTACAAATCAAGACTTCTAACTCATGCGCTGCTCATGTCTGAAGCCTTGAACGAAAACCTGAAGACCGCAACCCCTTTAAAGCCCTCGCATAAGAGAATCATCAGAAGCCGATGCCCCAGGCAGCCATGGGGATCCTCAGACACTTCTCTAGTTTTTGGCTCTTCACAGTCATGGCTCCTCGGGTTTCGGGTCAGGTTTAGACCTTAGGGTTCGGGTTTCGGGTGTACAACCAAGGCTCTAAGCCCTAAACCGGTAAACCTTAGGATTGGGTGAACAGGGTTGCGGGTGCAGATCCAGGGAGCAGTGACAGCCTCCAAAGCCTTGGCAGGGCCTGGAATGCAGAGTGCTATACTGTCCCGATTATGATCTCTTCCAAGGCTTCTTGGGAGCTCATCGACCGCGCCCTCTTCGGCAGCCGGATCGTGCACTTCCCGTGGTGGATCTACGCAGGAGTTCGTCTTTCAAGCTTTCCGAGTTTCAACGCGACTCAACAGTGAATATGCCAAAACCCTCCATAGTAAAAGTGGCAGCAGTTCGGCCCTTAACCCTGGCGCAACAGACGCGCAGCCCCCGGGGCTCACGGGTTTCAGATGTCAGCTATTGCAAGAAGAGCAGCCCCTCCCCCAAACCGGGTTCTGCACCAAACCTGGAATGCAGCGTCTGCCCTTTGGGAATATCACTGTTGAAGACATGTGATAAGGACGTTTCCTTGTTTGCGTGGAAGCCCCTGAAATCTGTGCAGCTCTTGGAGGCTCCCGCTGCCAGCCCGAAGAATGCAATCAGAGCCAATTGGCTGCCACGGGTTGGCAAAGCTTGAACCCTACATCTTGAACCCAACGTCTTTGAGACATACTGAAAGCCGTAAATATCTCCACGCATTCATTTCTTTTGGCCTTGCCGGTATTTTGCCAGTTCCAAAGTCGCAAGGTTTGAAATATCAGCCTTGTACCGGAGCGCGAGACTCAAACGAAATTCAGATGCAGGAGTCTTCGGATTCTTCGTCATCGTCTTTTTTCACGAAGTGTCACCTGGCGATTATCATGCTGTCCTTGCACCATCTACCTCAGGCTTTCGATTCAGGAGCATGTTCGCGTGAAGGATTTCCTAAACATGACCCCATAAGTTGGAACAGCCAGGGCTCTTGAACATGTCATCAACAGCAGCAGTCAGATCCTGAGATTTTGGCAAGGAGTATTGTCACTTACCCGATTCCCCCGACTGAGCGTTCAGTCCAGTCCCAAGACCCCTTCCGTCCTCCAAGGCACGTCTCCCGAGGCGGTGTTCCGATCTGTCAGCCGAAAAGACTGGAAAAGTCCATCGGATGTCAGCTGATGGGAAGCTCGCACTGAAAGTTTTTTTTTGGTTTCGACATTTGTGGGACTCAAGCGAGAATCCATCAGTCTCCACAGCCGTCAAGCTATTCTTGAAGTGAGAGGGAAGTAGCCCTGCCATAGTCCCCAACAGTATTCATGGCGCGTTCTCAGCACCAAGTAAGCCTTGCCCTGAACTGAGGCTTGTGGACAAATGCTTCTCCCTTTGTAGCCATGCTCCTCGTCCAGCGAAAAGTCGGGCGTCGGTGTTTGTCAGATATTGCCATATCTGCTGCAGTACAAGATGCTTCCTTGAAAGAGTCGAGTCTCCTTCTGGCTCTGATCGATGCAGTTGTGGTCGTTGCTACTGGTAGTGCTGGGGCCAGTCACCAATCTCCGCAGACCGCTGAATTGTTGTTCCGATTGTTGTCGGTGTTGCGGTCTTGAAGATGACCACGACAGCCAGAGTCATCACGCGCGCAGCCTGTGGCATAGGAGACACTGATTGCTGAGTTAGTTGATGTCACGTGACTCTGAACTCCAGAAGCACCAGATAACACCGAGCATGATGATGGCCACACAGGTATGTTGACGACGATGTGTTGTTCATGGTGGTTAACCGTGGCGATGCTGATAATATTGTCTGTGGTGCTGGTGCTGGTGCTGGTGCTGGTGCTGGTGCTGGTGCTGGTGCTGGTGGTGGTGCTGCTGCTG